TCGAAATTAATCCGCTACTATAAACATTGGTAACCATAGTAACAGAGTTACACTTGTAAAAGAGTGAGAGAGAGACACATAACATATGAAAACGTTAGGTAGGCTCAGAGCCATAGAGAGAAAGAGTTGCGACGCTCTTTGATGTCGCTGCGATGGCTGTCAGGCCATCCTTAAAAATATTCTTGTTTGCCGTAACCCGACCGACCCTGTCAATTTAGGACCGACCCAATTTTAAATTTTTTTCCCCTTTTAGTCCGACCGACTTGCCGGTTGTAAATTTGCATTAAGACCGACCGATTTTTTTTTTACTCTTCAAACAACTAATACAAATGCAATAAAATATCAATTATATTATAGTAAGCAGGCTACGTTCTTTCTTTTAAATAAAAACCCGTGGCGTCATCTATGATGATTATGTTTACACCATTGGTTTACGCATGTCACACTATGGTCTGTGCGTTCGCTTCATTTCATTCACTGTCAATGGTTCGCGCTCGGTGATGATGGCTGCGGCGCGGCTGCTTGTGAAATACGTCTGTGTGAGCCTACATTTAGTCGCTCATTATTCGAAATTCTTAATGGTCAAATAGGGAATAGATGTTAACGGCCTTTTCTCGGAGCGCGTCCAGCAGCTCGTCACGATATGGCCGCCGCGAACGCGCGTCACACAGCAACGGCAGGCTCTGACAAACACACATAAGTATGGGAAGCCAAACACACCGAAAGTGGGACGAAACGGCGGGGTGTTACAGAGTTCGCGCAGCGCGGACATGTAGCTAATCTGCGTGGCTCAATGGACCGAGACGCGCGACAGACTCGACAGCGCAGGGAGGAAGTGTTTGCTTGCGCGACCTAATCTCACCAGCGCCGCGCTGACCAATAAAACAGCACATCCCATACCGAAATGTACTAAATTACACTAAAGAAAATCGACCATTCCATATGTCAGGACTACTTAATATAGTTTCTACAATGCGCCTAGCCATTTGACCTCACTGATTTCCGTTAATAATAGCAGATGTTCATGGGTCCAATTTAAACAAATAGTGCCAAATGCGCTGTATTATTGGTCGGCGCGGCGCTGGTGAGATTAGTCATTAATTTATTTGTTTCCCTCTGAAAATCCACTCTTTTTCCCCAAATGAATGCAGCTGGAATTAATGCAATAAACATGTTTTTTAACAAAGATTTCAAATTGTTTGTTGTCTATAACCTGTATCAGAATGAGATTCGCAATGGTGCGCCCAAAGGCATGGGTTGAAGACACAGTCAGTGGCGTCACGATATGCAAATTTGTTTAAATTCATACCGACGTAATCACCATGACCAAAATTGTCCTTTTTTTTTTTTTTCATTTTGAAAAAAAAAAAAATAGACCTACCTACCGACCCTTTTTTTTTTTTTTTTTGCTGTTACTGCAAACCAAAATATTTTTAATGATGGCCTCACGTGGTTCATGTAAGCCCCAATAGTTCCAAAACATACGCTGGCTGTCATGTTCTTCTATGGGACAGACAGCAGCGACTGCATTATTGACCGGTAAATATAAAATAAAACACACACCCAAGTACTTTTTCAGCTGTTACTGCATTATTGCATTTTATAATGTCAGTTTTGCATTTGGAGAGGCAGGGTGACAACGAAATAGCCTATTACTTAGATACGTTTTAGGCTTTTTTTTTTGAGGGAAAAGACAGAGCTAGATAAGATCGAAGACGACAAAGATGAGGTCAATACGAAAAAGACAACTAAATGGGCAGTTAACACTTTCAGTGACTTGTTGCGCCAAAGACAGAACAATTGTGATTTCGGGACCTAATGTTACTCTGCTTCTCTTTTAAATGCAAGTTGGAGCAAAAAAGAACCTTGCTAAATTGACTTATGCTCCTTTGTTTTTAGGTGCACTGAAGAGTAATGCAATTACTCAAAGTGTGAACCGCAAGCAAGTGGAAATGGCGCTGGGGAAGTGGTTCACCGGTGCACGTGACCGTGGAGGGGAGAGGGCTGCAAGAGCCCAAAGACAAAAGGGAGCATCCACCACGCCATGAGTGTATTTCGTATTAAAGGAGTAGTTCATTTTTAAAAAAACTTTTGCTGATCATTTACACACCCCCATGTCATCCAAGATGTCCATGTCTTTCTTTCTTCAGTCGAAAAGAAATTAAGGTTTTTGATGAAAACATTCCAGGATTTTTCTCCATATAATGCACTTTTACTGGGTACCAAACGGTCCAAGGTCCAAAAGACAGTTTCAGTGCAAACTGCAAACTGTTCAAAGAGCTTTAAACGATTCCAGACGATGAATAAGGGTCTTATCAAGCGAAACGATCGCTCATTTAAAAAAATAAATAACAAAGTTTAAGTTTTATAAGCTCAAATGCTCGCCTTGCTCTGTTCTGTGATGCGCGTTCGTGACTCTCCTGTTCAAACTCGTTTATCAAAAAGAAACGAATCTTTTTCCGAGTCATTTCGTTCGTTGAATGAACCAAATTACTTGAAAAAAGATTTGTTCATTTTGCATTTTGATGAACATGCCCTTTGAACAGTTTGCACTGAAACTGTCTTTTGGACTTTGAACCGTTTGGTACCCAGTAAAAGTGCATTATATGGAGAAAAATCCTGGAATGTTTTCATCAAAAACCTTAATTTCTTTTCGACTGAAGAAAGAATGACATGGACATCTTGGATGACATGGGGGTGTGTAAATGATCAGCAAAAGTTTTTTTAAAAGTGAACTACTCCTTTAATGTATTTTTTGGAGAGATTTTTTATTTTATTTTTTTCAGAGATTTTTTTTTCAGAGATCTACTGTTGTGACATTTAAATTGTTTTGTTGTTCAATTAAACAATATATTTCTTGCAGTTCAAAGCATCAAGTGTCTTGTATTTATCTTGGACTTATATTCATTCTTCGATTTTAGTTTTTCTTAGATTGTTTCCTTAAAATATTTGGCATGGTTGGGCTTAGATAGGCCTTGCATGAAATGCCCAGTTAGGACCCACATAAGATCCTTACAGAGCCCACTTTAAGCCCATAGGGGCATTCACGGTTGAATCCTGGTGCAAGCCCACTTTAAACCCCTTTAGGTAGGTGGGGCCCAAATGGGTCTGACATTAATTACCCAGTTAAGAACCACATAAGACCCTTACAGGTCCCACTTAAAACCCATCTGGGCATCCACGGCTGGCCCCCTGTGTGGATCCTGGATACAAGCCTATTTTAAATGCCCTTTAAGCAGGTGGGGCCCAAATGGGTCTGTCATGAATTGCCCGGTTAAGATCCCACATAACACCCTTATAGATCCCATTTAAAGCCCATCTGGGCATCCACGGCTGGATCCTGGGTGCAAACCCACTTTAAACCCCTTTGGGCAGGTGGGGCCCCAATGGGTCTGGCATGAATTTCCCACTTAGGACCCACATAAGACTCTTACAGAGCCCATTTAAAGCCCATCTGGGTAACCATGGTTGGATCCCGGGTGCAAGCCCACTTAAGACCCATTTGGGCAGGTGGGGCCCAAATGGGTCTGACATGAATTGCCCAATTAAGACCCATGCAGTACCCTTACAGGTCCCACTTTTAGTACGTCTGGGCTTCCACAGCTTGCCCCAATGTGGATTCCGGGTGCAAGCCCATAATGGGGCCCACATTTGCCGTCCATCAAGCCCTCATATGGGCCCCACATGTCATTGCTGGCTGGGCTTTAGTATGGAAGGGAATGACCCTGCGGAAAAACAAACCCGCAGTAACTCCAGCACTGCACCAATGGGGCAGTTAACTGGGTCCCACTGTCCAGTTCCACACTTTGAAGTGAAAACACACCACTAAAATTAATACAGTTTCCTCATGGAGGGATCTCTGGAGATAAGTATGATCTCCAAAACCTCAGTTGATAGAGCAAAGGCCAAAGCCACAGGTTCCATATCTCTGGGCTGGGGTAAAGGGTCACGCCTCCCACTTGAGACAGAAAGTCCCTCCTGATGTAGCTTCGGCCATGTCGGCCATGTCTAGCTAAAATAGACGAACTTCGGATTAATACCAGGACATGCTCTGAGTATCGCACCTCAAGTTTAATGGTGATCACGGAAACGTGGTTACACCGAGATATCCAAAACTCCCTGGTTGACATCGATGGATTTTCACTTGTCAGGGCAGACAGGGCTGAACAATCCGGAAAAACAAGAGGTGGCGGTATGGCTGTGTATGTAAGTAACAATTGGTGCAAACCGTACACAGTTAGGGAAACACTTTGCTGTCCGGATGTTGAGATTTTGCATTTGACTATGAGACCGTTTTACCTCCCAAGGGAGTTCGGAAGTGTGGCCGTGTGCGTTGTGTACATTCCCCCAAGCGGGAATGCAGCTAGGGCCGCAGCTCGCATTGCTGACTGTGTACACCAAGAACAGCAGCGCGCTCCGGGCGCCCCCGTGTTTGTAATGGGCGACTTCAACCACTGTAAACTTGAATTAGCACTCCCTGGGTTCGAACAATATATCAAGTGTAGCACACGTGGAAATAAGCCTCTTGACAAATGTTATGGCAACGTCAAAAATGCCTGTGTAGCCAAACCAAAAGCACCATTGGCCAATTCAGACCACAACGCGATTCACTTAATTCCCATCTACAAAACCATGCTGAAACGCAGTAAGCCACAAGTGAAAACAGTCACCGTGTGGTCTGATGAGGAACACTAAAAGGATGCTTCTTGTGTACAGACTGGAGTGTGTTCCACGACACAGATATTGATGTCACAACAGACACAATCACAGACTATATAAATTATTGTATAGATAGCGTCCTTACAAAGAAAGAGGTTGTGGTTTATCCAAACAATAAGCCTTACATAACCAAGGACATAAAAGACTGCATAAATCAAAAAAAGGCAGCTTTCAGAAATAAAGATAGAACTGAGCTAAAAGTGGTACAAAAGGAACTGAACCAACTGCTTAATAAAGCCAGGAAACAGCAAAAGGAAGTAATTGAGAGCCACTTCACAACCATGAATTCGAAAAAACTCTGGGACTCAATGAAAGCCATCACCAACATGGCACCAAGCAAGGTACATATAACCACAACAGATGACCGGATGAAAGCTAATGAACTTAATGACTTTTACCTCAGATTTCAAACTCAGGATTTTAGCAATGAATGCATTAGTATCCTAAACTCCATCAGCACGGATTCGAACATAGGGCATGAGATAGACTGGTTACAGATACAGTCACTGTTCCAGCATCAGTGTACTAGGAAGGCTAAGGGTCCAGATGGAATCTCTGCTCGCTTACTGAAAACATGTGCGATTAGGCTTGTTCCAGCATGGTGCCCTATCTTTCAGCGATCACTTGACTCCCACATCATCCCAGCTCTATGGAAAAAGACTGTTATCATTCCAGTCCCAAAGAAACCTTGTCCCAAGGAGAACAATGATTTTAGACCAGTAGCATTGACATCCATTGTAATGAAATGTTTTGAGAAATATATGGCGTCTCTTCTCGGTCAATAAAAGGTTAGATCCCTGGCAGTTTGCCTATAAACGGGGTAGGAGTACATATGACGCTATAAGTGGCATCATCCACTTAGTCCTAAAGCATTTGGAGGACCCGAAGGCCTACGCACGCTTACTTTTTATAGATTTTAGTTCGGCCTTCAACACGATTCAGCCAGTTATTTTACTTGAGACACTTAAAAATATGGGTGTAAGCTCTTTTATCGTTGAATGGTATTACTCATTTTTAACTAATAGGACACAATATGTTAAAGTACACCAGGCAGTCTCAGACCCCAAATCCATCAGCACAGGGGCACCACAGGGTTGTGTGAGTTCCCCTGTCCTTTTTACTATTTATACCAATGAATGTGTGAGCAAACATCCACACAATTACATTGTTAAATTCTCGGACGATACTGCTATCCTTAGCTTATTGTATCGAGACCAAGACAGTCTCCTACCATTCAGAAATAAAACAGTTTGTGGACTGGTGTGATGCTCACCATTTGATGGTTAACGTCACTAAAACAGAGGAGATGATATTTGACCCAAGATCAATCTGTGAACCTAATCCTGTACTTATTCACAATACACCAATACGTCAGGTTATGTCATATAAATATCTGGGTGTTTTTATTGATTGTTCCCTTACCTGTGTTACGGGTGTGGTGCAGGTTGAAGGAGAGGCAGCAGATCAAATTCAATCATCTTTACTAGATATAACTTAAAACAGGAATCCAGGAAACATTACCACACCAAATACAAACGAGAACCGACAAGGAGTGAAGGAGAACACAGGGTTTACATACACAGAGAACAGATAGGGGAACAAGACACAGCTGGGGCAAATTAACTAGACACAGGTGAAGGAACTGAGAACTAACGAGGAGCGGGAAAACTGAGACACAGGACTAAACCAAATACACAGTGATGGGGGGAAACTCAGGACACACATGTAACATAACGCCCCCACCAAAAAGGCGCGTCCTCGCGCTGTATAACTTCAATAGGGGTGGGGGGGGCGGGCGCCCTGGAGGCTGACAAGGGCGTGGCCTACCCTGAGCAGGAAGCCTCCAGGGCGGAGCAGGCTGGTCAGGGGGCCATGGCGGAGTAGGAAACCACCCCTCGGACGGCCATGGCGGAGAATCCCCTTCGGGCGGCCATGGCGGAGACGCACCTTCGGGGGGCCATGGCGGAGACGCACCTTCGGGCGGCCATGGCGGAGACGCACCTTCGGGCGGCCATGGCGGAGACGCACCTTCGGGCGGCCATGGCGGAGACGCACCTTCAGGTGGCCTATATCCCCCCCCCCCAAATTTTCTTGGGGGGATTGCCAGGCTCAGAGACGTGCATAAGGACAGGCTTGGAAGGGCTGGAAGGGACCAGCGGAGAAGGCTCTGTAGGGCTGGACGGGACCAGCGGAGAAGGCCCTGTAGGGCTGGACGGGACCAGCGGAGAAGGTTCTGCAGGGCTGAGGTGGGGCACCAGCTCGGCAGGCGTGACTTGCTCAGGCTCTGGCGGGCAGGCGACGGGCTCTGGCTCTGGCGGGCAGGCGACGGGCTCTGGCAGGCAGGCGACGGGCTCTGGCTCTGGTGGGCAGGCGACGGGCTCAGGCTCTGGCAGGCAGGCGACGGGCTCGGGCTCTGGCTCTGGCGGGCAGGCGACGGGCTCTGGCTCTGGCGGGCAGGCGACGGGCTCTGGCTGTGGCGGGCAGGCGACGGGCTCTGGCTGGACGGTCTCTGGACGGACGGTCTCTGGCTGGACGGTCTCTGGCTGGGTGGGGCCCACTGTGAGCGGCGATCCACAGGCCACCAGCACCCACTCTATGTAAGCCGCGAAGTTCCCTCGAGGCCCATCTCCGGCCAGGCATGCTTTGGTCTCAGCGTTTAGGCCTGCCCGGAAGAACACACAGAGGCTGGTGTCATCATAATGAACTAGAGGTACCAAGTCCAAATACCTCTGTGTGTGGGCCTCGAGGGACTGATCCTCCTGGTACAGGAGAAGGATTTGGACTGCTGCATCCATCGATGTTAGGGTCGGTTCTTCTGTTACGGGTGTGGTGCAGGTTGAAGGAGAGGCAGCAGTCAGCAGATCAAATTCAATAATCTTTACTAGATATAACTTAAAACAGGAATCCAGGAAACATTACCACACCAAATACAAACGAGAACCGACAAGGAGTGAAGAGAACACAGGGTTTACATACACAGAGAACAGATAGGGGAACAAGACACAGCTGGGGCAAATCAACTAGACACAGGTGAAGGAACTGAGAACTAACGAGGAGCGGGAAAACTGAGACACAGGACCAAACCAAATACACAGTGACGGGGGGAAACTCAAGACACACATGTAACAACCTGGTACATTCATGTTGAAAATCTTTGCACCAGGTTGCAACAAAGGATGTACTTTTTAGGAAGGCTAAGATTGTATGGTGTCAATAGCAAACTCCTGTTTCTGTTTTTAAAAATGATTTTAGAGAGTGTGATACGTTATAGCATGCAGACCTGGTATGGTAATCTTTCAGTTCAGTTTAAATCCAAGTTGGGGCGCCTGATCAGTACAGCTTTGAGAATTGTAGGTTACCAAGAACAGTGCTACCTACAGTCATTGTACGAAAAATCTGTGCTCAGGGAGGCACATAAGATTCTGGATGACCCAACCCACATTCTCAATAAGGAACTAGAGTTGTTACCCTCAGGTAAACGATTTAGAATGCCGAAATGCAGGTTAAAGAGGTATAAAAACTCATTCATGCCAGCTGCCATTAAGATGCTAAACAGTAACAAATTACTGTTACCTGCTTGTACACTTTTTTATTCCCATTGTGTTGGGCACCGTTCTCACGGTGCAGTGTAATTCATGTTTGTATTGTCTATACTTAGTGTATATTTTATGTGGTTTGTTGTAAGTGTGTGTCGCAGTGATTGTAGCCCAAGACAAATTTCCCCTCTGGGGGACATTAAAGTATATTTTATCTTTATCTTATCTTATCTACCACAACATCCAGCTGGGTGTGTGAGGGAGAACCAAAGTGGACAGTTCTTCGTATCCTGAAACCTCCCATATGCGCTTCACCACCTCAGGGTGAAGTTTCCATTCCCCGGGCCTCAGCCCCTGCCTCGATAGGATGTCTGCTCATAAGTTTTGGTAACCTGGAATGTATACTGCTCTAAGGATGAGCTGTTTTCCTTTGGACCACAGGAGGATCTGGTGTGCCAGTTTGCATAGCGGGCATGGGCACTGACTCGCCGATGCTTTATATAAGAGATCACTGATGTGTTGTCTGTGTGAACATGCACATGATGGCCTCTCAGGTCTGGGAGGAAATGCTTCAATGCTGTGAAGAATCCATCATTTTCAGGCAATTTATGTGCCACAAGAGATGATGACTCCTCCACAGACCCTGAGCTGAGCGGCCTTCCATTGACGCTCCCCAGCCAGTGAGTGAAGCATCTGTCCTGAGCATCAAGTGATGACAATGGGCTCCTAACATGGGACCTTGGGACAAGAACCAAGCCTTCCTCCTATAACCTATGCATGGAGACACCACCATGTGATCTTGATCATTGTTGGGTACCGAGCGGCACCCCAAATATTGGGATGTGTAGGCTCACTGGCTTTAGGTGGTGGAGGTGGAAAAGACAGTTACCAGAGCTCAATTTGTTCCAAAAATAGAATAAAGTTTATTTATATTTTAACTCAGAAATCAAGAAAACTAAATAATCAAAAATAAATCAAAATAGCCCAATGCTTCTGGCTTTCAACAATAGTACAGCAAACACTTTGTACATAGCCTCACAGCAAGCTAGTACTCACTCTCACCCTCCCTAATGCAGAATGAGGCCCTCTTAAATAGGCCAAAGCATTAAGCCAAATTGGCCCATTCAGGGCCAATTGGACCATACCAACAATCAGGGTATTACCTTTAGCCTAAGGCCATAAATAAGCTATAAGCTAAGTAGAAAATAAACATTACATGAAAATAAAATAGTATCATCATATCACTATCATTTTATACAACATTTACACCACCTATTCACACCACTTATATACATACAAAACATTATTACAAACAAACACCCCTGTGAACAATGCTCTGCATCCTCTGCCCTATGACAAGGATAAATACTGCCCCTACAGCGGCGCGTGCGTCCGCATAGGAGCAGTCGAACCGGACCGGGATGCAGGAAATGCGTGAGTCGTAATATGTATGAATTCACTAGGATTTTAGCCAGAAACAGGGAGTAAATGGGACATGAACTAGTGGGTACCGCACTACATGTCATGGAGGTGGTAAAGTAGGAAGTTATAAGCAGTGACAAATTAGTTTTGAGTGTTGTGAATGAAATCGCGGACTAACCGCGCTACAAACAAATCAACGCGAATGAGTTAATGGCGCCTAGCCTCGCGCCAGCCTTCTCTTTAAACACAACCCCCCTTGTGTTCATTAGCCATCCATACACCTTCACAAAATAACACAATTAGCCTAAGCAAGGCATCATTTTTATAAAGGAGCGTGGGAGTGTATGTGTGTGCAAATGCGTATGCAAATGTCCAGAGTCTCTCCCGCTCTCGCTTGTAACGCCATTCACAGTCAATGCGGGAGTGCGTAACAGTGACAAGTGAGGTTCACTTTCTCACAATCATACTAAGTGGGTTCCCCCTTTGGTCCTGAGCCACCATTGCAAGGGTCTCATGTACAGCAGGGCAAAATGTATCATGTTGGACGCAACTGCCATCAGACCCAACAGTCTCAGAAACTGTTTGACAGTGAGTGACTGGCCTAGCATTATCTTGTTTACGGCTGTGAGAATCAAATCGATACGAGCAGGAGACAAACGTGCCTGCATTGTTGTTGAGTCCCCCACCATGTCTAGAAAAGTGGTTCTCTTTGCTGGAGAAAGCACACTCTTCTTGGCATTCAGCCTGAACCCCAACTCTTTCATATTGGCGAGGACGAAATATCGATGCCGAACCACCATATGTCCCGATTGTGCCAAGATTAGCCAATCGTCGACATAGTTTAACACGTGGATACTACGGAGTCGCAGTGGACCCCGTCCTTCTTTAGAAACTATGAAGTACCAGCTGTTAGAAACCTGACTCCTCCTCGGGTGAAGACACACATTATACGACCTCATAGCCCAAGAGAGTTTTCACTTCCTGTTCCATTACCATAGCCTGCTCGGGGTCCACTGCATTGGTAAAACCCCATTGAAATAAGGTGGATGACAACCAAATTGGACTTTTGTAGCCTTTTTCTACAGTCTGCCGGACCCATTGTAACACATTTGGCAGAAGTCTCACGCTGTCAGAAGGTCTACTAAGGGAACCAGCCTCTCATGACTGACCTCTGGTGTTCTTTGAGTAGTCAGCTTGGTACCCTGAAGTCAACTGGCAGGGAACTCCTTAAACACAGGGGATTGAGATAGCGAATCTTCAATTTCCCCCAACTTGAGCTCAGCACATCCACTTCATCGGAGCAAATTCCTCAAAATGAAATGCAGCAAATGATCAACCAGACAAGATAACACGTTCTGGATGAAAGGCTGAACTAATACACGAATCTAACTACTCAGTCAGATAAGTATTTATCATTTAATTCCTCAAAATTAAATGCAGCTTAAGATCAACCAGACAATATAACACAGTCTGGATGAAAGGCTGAACTACATTAGAATAGTTTCAATATACAATAAAAGAATAATAAATTAATAGCTTGCAATACACAAAATTTTATGGACTCGTAATCTATGCATTGCCTTAGCAAACGCGAGATCCGAGCTACTCGATTCTTATGGGATAGTCTTTTCTTGCCGCGAGAAAAAGTATACAACAGCAGGGGTAAAACACCTGATAGTGCATCCATGTACACTTCGGGAAATTTTATGAATGAACACAGCCCACACCCTTATGTTTAATATAGAGCTGACCGTGCTCTTCATACACAGGAGACCCGCATCGATGCTCAGCACATCTACCTCCTCAGAGCTAGACTGCTGAAACACTGGCCTCAAAAAACATCTACTCTACTCGTCTATGAGAACTCTGATTGGCGGTTCAGCTTAGTGGACAAGTCAGTGCCCGAGAACAGTAGCAAAACAGCAAGCAAAGAAGTGAAGATGGTACAGATAGAAGACTGTTCTAATGTTACTTCATTTTACCTGATGGTTCTTTGGCGAATATTTCAATATTAACATGAGCGGAGTGGAATAAAGAAAGTGTTTAGCCGGATTGATATTCAAAACGATAAGAACCCGCTGCTTTGTTTATGGTTTGTGTATCTGCAGCGTCGGTTTCCAGTTTTGAATGACAAATATAGACGAATATATCTGCAGAAATGGACAGTTGTCTCATTCACACGCAGGTGCAGAACATGCATGCTAGTTGACAGTAAGCTGTAGTTCTCTCGGCGTGTTCAAGTGCAGCTTTTCTGCCCCGACTCAGGCGACGCCCCGGCCAGCCAGCCTGTTGAAAACCTTTTGGCCCTCTGCTAAGGATGTCATTACACATAGCAAATTTGTTGTAAAAATTAGTTTGTATGAGTTGTTAAAGCAATGGAAAATGTGTATATAGCACCTTTAAAGTGATTCTCGAACTAGGATCTAGAGTTTAACATAATGTTCCTCTTTTTCCCTTTATTTTCCTGTACAGTCACATATCAGAAATCGACTCTTTCAACAAGCCTCCCTCGCTGTAGGAAACCCCCTTCACATCTCAGAGAGGTATTCACAGGAACTACGGGAATTGATCAAAGAAATGCTCAGCTCTGACCCTGAAGACAGACCTTCAGCTGACGAGATTCTAGCAAAACCCTTCCTGACAGATGCAGTAAAGAGAAATAAGAGATTTCTAGAAGCACTTGAACGAAGGTTCATCAACTCCATCAATACCTTTGAGGAGGCCTGCAATAAGGGCTATGGAAACTTTGAGACCTTAGTTAAAGAGTGGGGGGAAACAACAACTTCACTAGAGGAGATACACCGTAAATGCACTATAGGCAGTCTGTCTGGTGCAGTGATTGGGACTGCTGGTGGAATCACTGCAGAGGTTGGTGCAATATTGGCACCATTCACATTTGGAGCATCTCTGATTGTTACAGCTGTGGGTGTTGGTGTGGGAGTTGCAGGTAGTGTAACAGGTGCCGCATCCAGCATAACCAATACAGTAAAACAAAGACCACTCCGTCAGAATCTTGAAAACATTCAGCGGGAATTTACAAATGTGAGCACACCAATTCTCGATTCGCTGAATGCACTGAGAAGGGCACTGAGAGTAATCCAAAAGTTCAGGGATTTTGTCAGTGACTCTTCTGACACTGTAAAAATGTTATGCAGTGTAGACAAAAGAAGAGTAGTGTGTGGGAAAGAACTCATGAATCTGGGTCTGTGTCACGGTTTATGAATCGGCTGTCTCATGCTGAAGTGTCTGCGTGAGTGTAATTGAGTGGGTGTGGTTACTCGTTGTGTTGATTAGTGTCACCAGCTGTCAGTCATTCCAGTTCCCTTTATATACCCAGCAAATTCTCTCTCTTGTTGTCAGATCGTTGTGGTTGTTCCCCCGGTGTGTTTCCTGTGCTCGTGCCTCGTCTGTTCTGTTCCTCGTCTGGAGTTCGTCAGTTCCTCGTGTCGTCTGGATTTCTTCGTGTCATCTGGATGTTTCACAGTCCCTGGGTTTCACTCGAGCACGCTGTCACCTGTTCTACCACCGGATCGCCATCTCGTCCCTGCTTCACTGACCATCTGAGTGTTTGTCCCCGATCTGTGCCTTCATCATTGTTACTTCTGACTATATCCATTAAACTGAGTTTTACTTGCAATTGCATCCTCCTGTTATTTCCTCACAGAACGATCTGACCCACTATGGATGCAGCAAGTTCATCACAGCTCAACGATTTCATCGCTCACAGTATCTCACGTATGGACCAACAAGCAGAGAACATCTCGGGCACAGGTCGTGCGGTGCAAGCACTCGTGAAGCAGGTGTCCGAGCTCACCCAACAGGTACAACTTTTACAGACTCCCACTGCGCCCCCCACACCGCCCGTCCCCTTACCACCGGCGCCTGCAGCAGTAGAGAGGCCAGAGCCACGCCTACCCACACCAGAGGGATACTCCGGTGAACCAGAGTATTGCAGAGCATTCCTCACAAGATGTTCTATGCATTTTGCCTTACAGCCACGCACTTTCCAGAGCGAACAGGCTAAAGTAGCCTTTGTGTTAACCCTGCTGTCAGGGAGAGCAGCACTTTGGGGGACGGCGGTGTGGGAGAACGGAGACGACTGCTGCACCTCGTTCCAGGCACTCTTCGAAGAGATGAAGAGGGTTTTCGACCGTGCAGTGGCGGGTAAGGAGGCGGCCAGATTACTCGCCGAACTGCGACAGGGAGAAGGCTCGGTGGCGGACTTCTCCATTAGGTTCCGCACCCTGGCCGCAGAGTGCCGTTGGAACGAGGAGGCGCAGTGGGATATGTTCCTGCATGGGTTGGCTGACCGCGTTCAAGGGGAGATATATGCGATGGACTTACCGGAGACGCTGAACGGACTGGTGGAACTTGCGCTGAGAGTGGACGCTCGACTGAATCGTGTGACCAGACTGACGCGCCCCAGCCGTCCCCAGTCCAGCCCAGAAGACCACCAGCCCGGTGGCGCGAGCGCGGTCAGCCCCGCATTCCACCACGAACCCATGCAGGTGGGGAGAGCTCGGCTTTCCCTGGAGGAGAGGGAGAGGCGGAGATCCCAGGGACTCTGTCTCTACTGTGGCCGGGCGGGTCACTTCATCCACTCCTGCCCGGTAAAAGAGCAAGCCCGGTAGTATGTATGAGGCTACTATCGGGTGGGATCTCCGTCGAGAAGACCTCATCACCATCATCAACCCTCCTCCCGGTAAGACTGAGATGGCGACAGTCGACGCACTGCACCAACGCACTACTGGATTCGGGAGCGGAGGGTAATTTCATGGACTTCAAACTTGCACTTAAGCTTCAGATTCCCGTCACTCCTCTCTCGCACCAGATTACTGTCAACGCACTCAATGGTCAAGAACTTCCCCGGATTACACATGCTACTGAAGACATTACCCTCATCACTTCTGGAAATCACACAGAACTCATCTCATTTTTTCTCATGGACTCACCACTTGCACCAGTGGTTTTGGGACACCCGTGGCTTTCCAGACACAACCCCCGTGTCGACTGGTGCACTAACACTGTTTCCACATGGAGTAACCACTGTCATGAGTCCTGTTTAGTGTCTGCATGTCCTTCTGTGTCTGGTTCTGTGTTTCAGAGTGAGGCAGCGGATTTGTCTAACGTGCCCGCGGAGTACCACGACCTGAAGGAGGTGTTCAGTAAGTCTCGCGCTGCTTCTCTTCCTCCGCATCGTTCCTATGACTGTGCGATAGATCTACTGCCAGGTAAATCTCCGCCTAAGGGCAAACTTTACTCTCTTTCTGTTCCCGAGAGGGAGGCCATGGAGAAATATATTTCTGATTCTCTGGTCTCTGGGTTCATCCAGCCTTCCTCTTCTCCTGCGGGGGCGGGGTTCTTTTTCGTTGGGAAGAAGGATGGTTCTCTGCGACCTTGCATTGATTACCGAGAGCTGAACAACATCACGGTAAAGAATTCTTACCCTTTGCCATTGATGTCTTCAGCTTTCGAGAGGTTGCAGGGAGCATCCATTTTCACGAAACTGGACTTACGTAATGCATATCATTTGGTTCGCATCAGGAAGGGGGATGAATGGAAAACCGCTTTTAATACCCCTAGGGGGCACTTTGAATATTTGGTTATGCCTTTCGGGCTTTCCAACTCCCCAGCGGTTTTCCAAGCACTCGTTAATGATGTGTTGAGAGACATGGTAGATCAGTTCATATATGTTTACCTGGATGACATATTGATTTTTTCTTCGTCTCTCCAGGAACACGTTCAACACGTCAGACGAGTGCTCCAGAGACTGTTAGAGAATGGGCTTTTTGTCAAGGCGGAGAAATGCGCGTTTCATGCACAGTCTGTTCCCTTCCTAGGGTACATCATCTCCTCTGAGGGAGTGCGCATGGATCCTGATAAGGTTAAGGCTGTGGTAGATTGGCCAAGTCCAGATTCCCGTAAGGCCCTACAGCGGTTTCTGGGGTTCGCCAATTTTTACCGGCGTTTCATTCGTAATTTCAGCCAACTAGTCGCACCTCTGACTGCCTTGACCTCCCCCCGAACGACGTTCAGGTGGTCGAACACTACCGAGGCAGTGTTCACCAACCTCAAGAGTCGCTTCGTTTCGGCTCCCATTCTTGTCACCCTTGATCCCACACGTCAGTTCGTGGTGGAGGTCGACGCATCAGAGGTGGGAGTAGGAGCAGTGCTTTCACAACGCGCTTCCTCAGACGACAAGATGCATCCCTGCGCGTTTTTTTCTCATCGACTATCGTCTGCCGAACGTAATTATGACATTGGTAATAGAGAGTTGTTGGCAGTTAAGTTAGCGTTGGAGGAGTGGCGTCATTGGTTAGAGGGTTCGGGGGTACCCTTTATCGTTTGGACCGACCATAAGAATCTTGAATACATCAGATCTGCTAAAAGACTCAACTCCAGGCAGGCTCGGTGGGCTCTTTTTTTCGGACGTTTTGATTTTGTTCTCTCGTACCGCCCCGGGTCCAAGAACATCAAACCCGACTCTTTATCTCGTATTTTTGATCCATCCGAACGCCCGGTGACTCCCGAGTGTATTTTACCTGAGAAAGTTGTCATCTCCACTCTGGTATGGGAGGTCGAATCGAAGGTCAAGACACCCTTAGAAGGGGTAACACCTCCGCCTGGTTGCCCACCGAGTCGTTTGTTTGTTCCGGAGGGGTTACGGTCCGACGTTATTCGATGGGGTCATTGCTCCAACGTGGCTTGTCATCCAGGAGTGACTCGCACCAGTTTTCTAGTTAAACAACGATTTTGGTGGCCATTGATGGCTCGCGACATTCATGATTTTGTTTTGGCTTGCTCAGTCTGTGCCACTAGTAAGACATCTAACCAACCCCCAGACGGGTTACTTCGACCGCTGTCTGTCCCTTCGAGACCCTGGTCCCACATCGCTCTAGATTTTGTCACCGCCCTCCCGCCCTCCAAGGGCATGACGGTTGTTTTAACCGTAGTGGACCGGTTCTCGAAGGTGGCACATTTCATTCCCTTGCCCAAATTACCTTCAGCCAAGGAGACAGCGGTCACTGTCATAGATCACGTTTTTCGGTTACATGGCCTCCCGATGGACGTGGTCTCTGACAGGGGTTCCCAATTCGTATCCAGATTTTGGCAAGAGTTTTGTAGATTGCTGGGGGCCACGGTCAGTCTGTCTTCGGGCTATCATCCCCAGAGTAATGGCCAGTCTGAGCGAGCCAATCAGGACCTCGAAAGAATGTTGCGATGTTTGGTTGCCAAGAATCCGTCGTCCTGGAGCCAACAGCTTTCTATGGTGGAGTACGCCCACAATTCATTACCAGTGTCATCCACGGGCCTCTCGCCATTTAAGTGTAGTTTAGGTTACCAGCCACCAATTTTTCCGAGTCTGGAATCCGAGGTCGCGGTCCCCTCCGCTCACGCATTCGTCCAGAGGTGCCACCGTACTTGGACTAGAGCCCTTGAGACTCTACTCCAAGCAGGGAGGCGCATGAAGGCCAAGGCCGATCGCCACCGGTCAAAGCCTCCCGTTTACGTCGTGCGTCAAAAAGTGTGGCTTTCTACCAAGAATATTCCTCTCCGCTCCGTGTCTAACAAGTTAGCTCCCAAATTTATTGGCCCATTTCCTGTCACCAAGATTATTAGTCCGGTGACAGTCCGACTCAAACTCCCTCCTGCGTACAGGAGAATTCACCCCGCCTTCCATGTGTCTAAGATTAAGCCCGTGTTTCGTTCTCACATTAATCCGCCTGCCCCGTTTCCCCCCCCCGCCGCGACTCGTAGATGGGGAACCCACATATTCGGTAAACCGCATTCTGGACTCGAGACGGAGGGGACGCGGATTTCAGTACCTGGTGGACTGGGAGGGTTACGGTCCGGAGGAGAGAAGTTGGGTACCTGCTAGAGACATCCTGGATCACTCCCTTATCGATGATTACAATCGACAGGTAAGGGAGTCTGAGAACGCCAGGAGGCGTTCTTAGGAGGAGGGGTACTGTCACGGTTTATGAATCGGCTGTCTCATGCTGAAGTGTTTGCGTGAGTGTAATTGAGTGGGTGTGGTTACTCGTTGTGTTGATTAGTGTCACCAGCTGTCAGTCATTCCAGTTCCCTTTATATACCCAGCAAATTCTCTCTCTTGTTGTCAGATCGTTGTGGTTGTTCCCCCGGTGGGTTTCCTGTGCTCGTGCCTCGTCTGTTCTGTTCCTCGTCTGGAGTTCGTCAGTTCCTCGTGTCGTCTGGATTTCTTCGTGTCATCTGGATGTTTCACAGTCCCTGGGTTTCACTCGAGCACGCTGTCACCTGTTCTACCACCGGATCGCCATCTCGTCCCTGCTTCACTGACCATCTGAGTGTTTGTCCCCGATCTGTGCCTTCATCATTGTTACTTCTGACTATATCCATTAAACTGAGTTTTACTTGCAATTGCATCCTCCTGTTATTTCCTCACAGTCTGCTGGCAAATGTTGGCAGAATTGCAGCTCAGACTGCCAGAGTAGGACGAGCCGCAGCAGAAGCGGTGGCTGCAGTCACAGGTGTGTTGAGCGGACTCTTAGTCATCCTTGACGTCGCCTTCATCGTGGTGGATTCTGCTGACATTCACCAGATGAATCAGGGAAGAGTAAATTATCCAGAAAAGGTCAAATCAAGTTTACTCAAGTCCATTGCTCAGATGAGGAAAACACATAGAGATCTTGTCATTGTCTTACGGGAAATTAAAGAAACAAGAAACGAACTAGAAAAGTATATATAGAAGTGGCCAGGGCTGACAGCAATTCAGACTGAGATTTAGACAGAGATTTGGAGAGTTTAAACATGTAAATATGATACAAGTTAGAGACTCATGCAACATCCTGCTGATTTGTCTATAATGGTGGTTTTGGAGAAAATGATATAAGTCTAACAATAGAAGAGGTGTGATATATGAGGTAAGACTTTTGCAATAATTCTATATTGTAAATATCAGTTACCTTGTATGTATTTCAGAAATTTACATATATAAATCACAAAGTTAGCAAACAATGTATATTAATTTAAACAATTTATTAAGGCAGAAACAATGAGCTTATTGAGGCAATGAATAAATGTTAACAAATGATTAGGATATATAGAAAACTGTAGCATTGGTGAATGTTGATTCAGAGATGCATTACATGAGTGCTTGGCTAAAGAGATGTGTCTTTAATCTAGATTTAAACTGAGTCAGTCTGAGCCCCGAACATCATCAGCAAGGCTACTCTTTCGGTGTCTGTGGTCTCCAACAGTTTTAATATCGGTTAAGATTTGAAAATCGTCCAGTGTGTCCCAGGCCTAAGCAATAAATCAACCGTTTTCTGTTTCTCATAATTTGGTTGAATTATAGTTCACGAGTTCACACTTACATACAATTAAAGGGAATAAAGTATAATGCGTATTTGGCGTGCTGTCCGGGGGAGGGCTCCGAGCTCGGAATTCGGCCCGAACCCAGAGTACTCCCCCCTGTATGTAAAGTGGTTTAGGACTAGAAGAGTGGAGAAGGGGTGGTGGAGGGACGCTGCTAAACTGTCAGAGAAATGAGGTGAGACAGCTATGAGTCTATATATACACGTTTTAATCATGATTGCTGAGTGCTCTCCACCCGTGTTAATTATCTGAACGTGCTCCTCCCGAACTTTGTTAATAAAACATCTTTTTTTTTTTTTTTTTGAAATGTGATCAAGGTTGCATAAGTAGATGTGTTGAGGAATTTTGCAATTAACATGTAGCATTTTAATTATATTCTGCTGAAATGAACAAAATGACTTGGAAAAAGATTTGTTCATTTTAATGATTCAAAGATCCGATTCCGTAAAATGATCCGAACTTCCCATCACTGCGTCCAGGCCTTAGGACTGTACATGTGCAGTAACACTATTTGAGCATCAGAATAATTAGACATAAGAAAATATGAAAGAAATGCTCACAAAAAAAGGCAACTAATTTACAATAGTAATTTAGTATTTCTGAATGACATTTCTGAGGTTATTAATTTAAATAAAACACACCCAAACAACCTCCATATAAAAGCTTTCCATAACAGCCTTTCATCACTCTCAGCAAACTGAGGAAGCAGGAAAAGAAAAAATATCTGTCTGTCTTATGTTTTATCATTTATTTATGTTTTATCATTTGCTTATGTTTTATCATTTAATCATTTAGATCTTAAATATCATATAACCAAATGTAATCAATCATATTTGAAGAAACATAATTATCAGGTTGATGTGTTCCTCATTATTATCATTTTGATTTGTTTACCATTATTATCATATTAAATGTATGTTTAATGCTTTTCTTTTATCAATCTTATGCCTCAAATGTAGCGGATTGACTTAGGGTGAACTTTTGTACTTGCTGTTTAGATGAGGACAAAAGTCTATAAGTTTCTGATAGAAAGACCACAAATGCTCTAATGTCTTAGAATAAAGTGTTAAACGAATGTTATTGTCATGAAACTGCTCTGAGTCAGGCAAGTTAAGATCCAAACGCAGCTTTTATTATAATATAAAGGGGTAATCCAGAATCGTGGTCGAACAGATAAGCAATAGGTCAAAGTCCCGGTAGGCAGTCCAAACAAACAAAACATACAAGGCAGGGAACAAGACAAAATACAGAAACCAGGTAAACGCTCAGAGATGCAGTGGGACACAAACAAAACTTCGCAAGTTTTTGAGTGAGTGAATGAACATGGAATAAATAGACAGGGGTGACTAACAGGGTGATGAGAAACAGGTGATAATGAGTCCGGGCAGTGCGTGATGGGAAATGAAGTCTGAGAGGGAGTGAAAGTCTGGTGTGGAGTGCCCTCTGGTGGCTCACAAGGGCCCTCCAGCTGGTGACCGTTACAGTTATCTTAGCTGAACATCTTGCAGAAGAGACATGTTGTACAGTAGTTCGTGTATTGGATTACGATGAACAACTTTCAAAGAGAGATCTCTTAAACGACTTTAATTTTCTTTAGGCTAAGAATATTATACTCAGAGTGTGTTAATTATATTTTACTTAGAAATATTAGAAGTGATTTTACTTGTTCATTTTATGTTTCTTTATTAAACTTTTAATCCTGATTATGGATGAATTAATTTTACTCTTCATGTATTATTTGATTGTATGCTGTTAAGAAATAAAATGTAACTGAATCATCTGACTGGATCTCCTTCCCTGCATCACAAACATATAATGCTCTCTAAGATCTCAATGTTTTTAACACATACACATGGCTTCATTTTTGTGAATTTTTGAAAACAAAACAAAATATATTTAGTACAAATGTTATTGATAAATCATATTTTGTTTGTGAAAACCTTTGTACTCAGATTTCACACACAAATAAATAATACAGAGGGGCAGGTTTCTATTATTATTATTATTATTAGTAGTAGTAGTAGTAGAAGTATTGTTGTTGTTATAGGCCTATAAAGTTGATTCAGTAGCCTATACATTTATTCAGTATATTTTATTGATTAATTTAAAACCTTAAACAATAGCAACAACAAAAAGAAGAAGCAGCAGCAGGAGAAAAGTTCTATGCTGTCACAAAACTGCTGCTATATTTCTGCTATGTCATCGCTTCAGTGATCCTTGTGCTGAAAAGCTAAAACTGAAATCCCTCCAGAGCACCGGCGATCCAGGATGTTCAGCAAGCGGTTGGCGACCCGTCTACCACCTCATCGGCCATGGGACTGCGCCATCGACCTGCTGCCTGGGGCCACTCGACCGTCAACGTCCCCTGCCACTTCCAGCTTCTTCTTCGTGGCCAAGAAGGACGGAGGGTTGCGGCCGTGTATCGACTACCGGGCCCTGAATTCACAGACTGTTAAGTACAGCTATCCTCTTCCTCTGGTCCCTGCCGCATTGGAACAGCTCCATGGGGCTCGCATCTTCTCCAAGCTGGACCTGCGGAGCGCATATAACCTCATTCGGATACGCAAGGGTGACGAATGGAAGACGGCGTTCATCACTCCGACAGGCCACTACGGGTACCAGGTGATGCCGTATGGCCTGTCCAACTTACCCTCCGTATTCCAGGGGTACATGAATGAGGTGTTCCAGGAGTACCTCCAACGCTTCGTCATCACCTACATCGACGAGATTCTGACCTACTCCGGAACCTGGCCGAACATCGCCATCACGTGACGCAGGTCCTCAAGAAGCTGAGAGAACACCACCTCTATCTCAAGTTGGAGAAGTGCGAGTTCCTCACACCGTGTGTCCAGTTCTTCGGGTACTACATCATCGACCAACGAGGTATCCAAATGGACCAGAGGAAGGTGGACACCATTCACAACTGGCCCCAACCTGTCACCGTCAAGAAACTCCAGCGCTTTGCCAACTTCTATCGTAGGTTCATCCGGAATTACAGTTTTCTTAGCTCACCTCTCACCCCACTCCTCAGAAACCGGCCCAAGTCTCTGCCCTGGAACCCTTTGGCCACAGAAGCCTTCCAACGCCTGAAGGATACCTTCACGACCGCTCCAATCCTGGTGCACCCCAATCCAGAACTCCCATTCGTGGTCGAAGTCGATGCGTCTACCACCGGGGTTGGAGCAGTATTATCCCAGCGGCAGGGTGAGCCTCCTCGACTCCATCCATGTGCCTTCTACTCCAAGAAGCTGGCTCCGGCAGATCAGAACTACAACATCGGAAATTGTGAGCTGTTCGCAATCAAGCTTTCCTTGAAGGAATGGAGACACTGGCTGGAGGGAGCTCACCACCGTTCCGAGGTCATCATGATCCCTGGAACCTGGAGTATCTCCGAGAAGCCAAGCAACTCAACCCACGACTAGCCCGCTGGGCGCTATTCTTCACACGGTTCGATTTCACCGTAACCTACCGACCCGGTACCAAGAATTGCAGGGCGAATGCCTTGTCCTGTCTGTATCATCCTGAACCTGAATCCAGTCCTCCAGAACTAGCCTTGGTGGTCAGCCCGATCCAATGATCCCTCGACGACCAAATCCTCCAAGCCACCTGCTCCGCTGGGAGGTCCTGAGGGAAGGTTATATGTACATATAAGCCTGCCGTCTGTCCCTCATGGACTCAGCACACACCTCTCTCTGGACACCCAGGCAGCCAGCGAACCCTCTGGCTCCTACAAGATCGCTACTGGTGGCCCAACATGGCCCAGGATATCTCCCGATACGTCAAGGGTTGGTCAGTCTGTGCCATCACCAACACGATGAGGAAGCTACCCGAGGGAAAGTTGGTACCTCTGCCGATACCCAGATGCCCCTGGTCTCACCTTGGTATTGACTTCATGACTGACCTTCCTCTGTCCATCCATCACACCTGTGTATTTGTATTAACTTCACTCCCAGTAAGAAGGTGATGATGGTGGTTTTCCTAGCGGCAGTTTCTCCCACCAGAAATAGCCTATGAGTTTTTCCTGCTTGTTTGAGTCTTTACGTCCATATGTTCATGGTCTGACCTTTCTATTAGTCCCATCAATATATTTTCAGTAATACTTTACAATAAGGGTACATGTACTAATACCTGAATTAATATAGCACTAAAAGTGGTTCAGACTTGTTATAATAGGGGAACCACTAAGTGCTATACAGCTTTGTCAAATGGTCAAATGGTGCTGCTATGTAGAACCATAAGAGGTACCATATATTGTTTTTTCAACTACGTAGTTTATTCTATTTTTTTTAGGACCCCTCAGGTGCACGCTGTCAGTGCGCGAGCAAGCAACATTTGTTTACACTGTTTTCGCTGGAACAGCAGAACTGAAGC